GAAATATTTTACCTATAGAAGCTAATTTAATTCACTTCAAAATAGAATTCAGATTGCACTCAAAGTGAAACTCTAACTTCTCTAACCTTATCTCAATCTTTCAAAACTCTATTATATATTTACAAAACTCCAACATATCTTCTCCTAATATGAATAAAGGAAATGTGTCACGAATCCTGAAGAAGTTATGTTGGCTAAAAAAAGATAATATATTCATCAACGTCACCATCATAGAAATCTTCATTAGATGAATGAAATTCATTATAGAAAATAAAATATATACATCATAGAAATGTCAAGGCAATGCTGCTTACATCAATACTAAAATCATATAAATTGTACTGGTTTTGAAATAGAAAACAACTAGAATTTACAAAGCCACCAGAACACAGATACATATGGTTAACCATCTACAGAAAGAGAAATAGTAACATTTTCAAATTATTCAAAGGACATGATTGTAGTGATCAAATAGAAACACAAACCAAACTTCTCAAACATAAGAAGTTAGAACCATGATAAGAACTATTGGCAAGCAGAATCCAAATTTCTGCCACATTTCAGACATTAGTCTTGCCATTAGAAAGCACACACTTAGTAACTGATCCCAAGGAAGACATTTCTTTCTGTAGATTCTTAAGTCTCACTGTCTTCCATCTCATTACAAGTTCCAATTCATTTTGACTGACGTTTCACTGCATCGCACAAATCTGATTTCACCTCCGCACTCAAATTTATTTTACTTAAAAGGCTTGGCAATTCTGATGACAAAATTGGGCAAATACCACACTCTTTCATATCGAAGACACCCTCATGTTCTCTCATATCATTTGTAAGGAAAAACTCAAATGAAACATTTTTTTTACCGAGGCCAAGTATGCTGTCCGAATGGTACGGATCATACCACACAAAAACATGCTCCATGTTTAAATTTGTAATAGGTTCACTGTACCACTCAGACACAATTCCCACCCTATTGCCATCTTCCCTGTAGCATTTACATTGAATTTTAACACCACTACCACCATGCTCATTCTTCATTCTATTGGATGGAGAAATAACCACCCAGAAAATGAATCCCAAGGAGAAATATATGTCAGGATATCCAATAGTTAATTTGGAATCCGATGTTCGGTATTTGATCTGGCTTGGAACTTGGCTTCCTGGTAAGCAAACCACTGCACTGTTATAATTGTAGCTGTGAGCATCCAAACTGTATTGCCTTACTAATATGTTGTGAAATGCAACACTCTGCATTGTTAATATGACATCTTCCACAGTCCGGTCAAATGAAGGTTGATTCGAATTCATCGTCATGTCATTCTTGAATGAAATGTATTTCTCCTTTCCATTCATTTTTTCTGCAAAAGTTTTCAAACTGGACACAGTGACCAATGAAGTGCAGTTTTCAGCACGAAACTCTTTGATTTCTAGAGGAAGCTCTGGGAGAGAATGAAGCTTTCTGCAATTGTCTAAGCATAGAATCTCTAATTCTGAGAGAAACTTGATGCTTGAAGGTAGTGTCTCCAGACTACTTCCATCGAGTCTTAACTCGTACAATGACGATAAAGAACTGATGTTTGAAGGGAGTTCAACCAGGTTAACAGAACCATTCAAATATAATATTTTCAATGACCCCAAGCCATCAAATATACCTTCTAAACTCAATTTAGTTACTATGTCACAATTAGAAAGCCGAAGAAAGGTAAGTAATCCCAGACAAGACAACTCCTTCGGTAGATTTGTGAGCTTTAAACCTTCTAAATTGAGCCACACCAGTTTGCTCATACCTCCGACTGTAGAGTGCAATTTTTCAACTCCCGTATTGCTTAAATTCAAACTTTCAATTGAATCAGAGGACATTGAAAATTCCTTCATGCTTAAACATTTGTAGACATTGATCTTTTGTAGGGCTTTTAAGTGTTTCTCACTTACAAGACTTTGCAGATTTGTGCACCTATCAAGTAACAAAGTAACAAGCGTGTCCTTAAAAATAGAAGGTTGAATTTCACACAAACTTTCACAGCCAGAAAGGTATAACGATCTGAGCTTTGACGCCTCAGACAAATCAGGGAGGTTGATCAAATGTTTGCACTCACTTAGGTCGATTGCCTCTAAATTCACAAGTTCCTGTAACAATTCAAAAAGAGAAGTCATATAATAATTTCTCTTCATATTTTGTATAAATTTAAATACTCATTACATATTATTTGGTGTATTTGTTAAACAAGAAGTGTGTATAAATTAAACGCATTTTAAGTGTGGACATAAATATGCATACACACCTGCCTCCCGTGCCAGAGATATTCTACATTGCTATGTGGCAAGCGAATCTCTACAAGAAACTCAGCACAAAAAGGATCTGGAAGACACTTTATAGGGTATCCATTCCACTCAAAGTATCTAAGCTTATCAGAAAATTGCACAATGCCTTGATCAGAATGATTCAAGGTAGCCAATCTCTTCTTACCCAAAGGGACATACAATCTTAGAAATCTTAAATCAACCATCATGTCGAATGCGTCGGCTTTGACATATAAATTTGATTTTTGAGACAAATCAAATATTATGCCTTCCACAACATCAGCTCCCTGATTAAAAAAAAACATCAACATCTTAAACAAAAGAAGTTCATAAGCTATAGAAAATCAGTTGTAGTAAAACTATGAACACGTGTTAAAAAATATTAGTGTCTTTTACCTTTTTATGTTTAAGTACATCGCGAACTTCTTCAATATCCCTCAATCGGTTGCGCATTCCTTGGACATTTCGAACTATATCAAAAGCCATTTTTTGTAGCAAGTCATGAATTTGTATTCTATTGCTATTTGAAATGGTTATAAGAGCTTTATCTTCAAGTATTTCTATCCCACTAGTAGCACCGAAACCACATGCATCTAGTATCTTTGTGGCGAAATCTTTAGTTTCACCTTCATAAAAAAATGCAATGTCTAGAAAAGTTTCCTTCTCCCGCTCTGTTAATCCATTATAGCTCATTTGTAGCACTTCTTTAATTTCATTCATGCATTCTCTTTTGACCTTCAAATAGTCCAATTCAGATTTCCAAAATTCAGGTCTTCTAGTATGAAAATGAGAACCTAAAACTTTTAAAGCTAATGGAACGCCTCCTGCATATGCAACAGCCCTTTCCAAAAGGCCCTCGTAACCCTTTTGGGGACGGCTTTGCTTGAAGGCTTCAAATGTAAAAAGATTTAAAGATTCTTCAAAGTTCCACTTTTTAACCTCGTGTATAGCATCAACTCTTCCCTTGAGTGTGTGCCGATCTCTTGTTGTGATAATGAGTCTACTGTTTGGTCCAAGCTCATCAAGTTCTCCACACAAATCATCTAATTGTGTAGCATTACCCACATTATCAAGTACGATGAAAACTTTCCTACCACTGAGCCTTCTCTTAATGAATGTGTCTCCAAGAACATCAGATGTAGTAATTTCTCTCTTTAGTAGCTCGGTGAAAATGTTATTACGTACTTGTGGTAGTCCAAATTTTTCTGATTGTTCTTTTACCTTTTCCATGAAGCATACACTGTCATATTGTGCAAAGTATTTCACAAACATGAGTCTTGCTATGGTTGTCTTTCCTATGCCACCCATGCCCCATATTCCAATTCTTGAAATTTTTTTCAGTAATGAATCCACATGTCTGCAGTTTTCATCAATTTGAATGCCTTTCAAGACCTTAGGATACATCAGGGTCAACTTCTGCCAAACATCTCTCACAATATTCTCGATGACTTCAGAATCATCCCTAACCAAAATTGCAAATAAATAGTAAGTTATAACAATGTGGAATGAAAAAAACAAAAATAAGGTTGGAACTTGGAGGAACATTTTCTTTTGGTATGTTTGACCTTGGTTATGCTTAAGATGAATGTTTATTATAAGTTTCTTGTTTATGAAATTTTGGATTTGGCAAGAACCGCATAATGATTGTTTCGTGTGGAAAGTTGACAGTTTTTTGCAACCAGCATCTAATTTCTTTCATGTTCAATAAGAAAGAAGATATCATTATGTATAAAGTCATTTTCATTGGAGGTTTGGCTGAGAGGAGGATGATGTGTTGGGTTGGGAAAGATGAGATGAAATGTGCGCCAAAGAAATTGGGAGGTTTAGGAGTAATAACATTGGATTGTTTAATGTATTCTTGTAGAAATGAATGCAATCTAGACTGAATCAGTAAGTGTCCGTTTCGGTAAGTGTTTAATATCTTTGAAAACAAAAATAAACAAAGAAATCATATAAAAGAACTTCAAATTTCTTAGTTACCTGATAGTAGTAGAATCCCATCCAGAAATACTTGCAGCTTCTTTGAGTCCAGCTTTCCAAGCCAAAACTTTGTCTTGATGAGATTCATTATTCCTAACTTCTATCTCATATTTTGCAAACGCTTTCTCATAACTCTCTTTCTGATGACGCACATGTGATGGATCTACTCTATAGAACACAGGTATAACAACTTGACCATGATTTTTTCTACACTCAAGTATTTCAACGAGTTCATTCAAACACCACGTTGAGGAAGCATAGTTTTCCGAGAATACAACGAGAGACAGAGTTGATTTTTGAATTGCTTTGACAAGTTCACCCCAAACTTGATCTCCCTTTTGAAGCTTGTAATCAATGTATGTTTCTATTTTTTCTTTCTTGAGTGCATCGTGAAGATGGCTTGTAAAGGTTTCACGGGTATCTTCACCCCTAAAGCTAATGAACACATCATACTTTTTGTGAGAGGCTGACATTTTCGGATACTCTTTTCTTGCTTCAATGGCTTGGGAAAAAGTTATTTCGGATACTTTTTCCTTCAAGACCTTAGGATACACCATGGTCAACTTTTCCCAAACATCTCTAACAATATTCTGGATGACTTCAAACTCAGTCCTAACCAAAAATGCAAATAAATAATATGTGAAATAAAAAAAAAAAACTAAAATAAATTTCTCATATAAAGAACTTCAAAAAGTAGTAGTAAAATGAAATCCTAGTTACCTGAAAGTAGTAGAATCATATCCAGAAATATTAGCAGCTTCTACAAGTGCAGCTCTCCAAGCCAACACTTTGTCTTGATGAGATTCATTATTCCTATCTTCTATCTCATATTTTGCAAATGCTTTCTCATAACTCTCTTTCTGATGACGCACATGTGATGGATCTACTCTATAGAACACAGGTATAACAACTTGACCGTGATTTTTTCTACACTCAAGTATTTCAACGAGTTCATTCAAACACCACGTTGAGGAAGCATAGTTTTCTGAGAATACAACGAGAGACAGAGTTGAGTTTTGAATTGCTTTGACAAGTTCACCCCAAACTTGATCTCCCTTTTGAAGCTTGTAATCAATGTATGTTTCAATTTTTTCTTTCTGGAGTGCATAGTGAAGATGGCTTGTAAAGGTTTCACGGGTATCTTCACCCCTAAAGCTAATGAACACATCATACTTTTTGTGAGAGGCTGACATTTTCGGATACTCTTTTCTTGCTTCAATGGCTTGGGAAAAAGTTATTTCGGATACTTTTTCCTTCAAGACCTTAGGATACACCATGGTCAACTTTTCCCAAACATCTCTAACAATATTCTGGATGACTTCAGACTCAGTCCTAACCAAAAATGCAAATAAATAATATGTGAAATAAAAAAAAAACTAAAATAAATTTCTCATATAAAGAACTTCAAAAAGTAGTAGTAAAATGAAATCCTAGTTACCTGAAAGTAGTAGAATCATATCCAGAAATATTAGCAGCTTCTACAAGTGCAGCTCTCCAAGCCAACACTTTGTCTTGATGAGATTCATTGTTCCTAACTTCTCTCTCATATTTTGCAAACGCTCTCTCATAACTCCCTTTCTGATGGCGCACATGTGATGGATCTACTCTATAGAAGACAGGTATAACGACTTGACCGTGATTTTTTCTACACTCAAGTATTTCAACGAGTTCATCCAAACACCACTTTGATGAAGCGTAGTTTTCTGAGAATATAACGAGAGATACAGTTGAGTCTTGAATTGTTTTGACAAGTTCACCCCGAAATCGATCTCCCTTTTGAAGAGCGTAATCAATGTATGTTTTGATCTTTTCTCTTGTGAGTGCACCGTAAAGATGGCTTGTGAAGCTTGCACGTGTATCTTGGCCTCTAAAGCTAATGAATACATCGTGCTTTTTCCCAGAGCTTGACATTTTCAGATACAATGGCCTGGGATTTACAGAGACTGTGGTTCAGATAAGAGTCAACGCAACCTTAATCATGCTTATATTTTTTAAATGTCAGTTTCTTCTTGATAGTTTTTTTTTCCACGGTAAGGTTCAAGGTAACTCCTTCCATTTTAAAATTAGTGTTGTTTTAAAGATTTCTTTTTTAAAAGACGCACATTACAACTTAAACATATTTTTATCATTTTAAATTGTATAGATTCTCTTTCATTCCATTATTTACTATTATATTTTTTCTCTTTTAATTTGAGCAGAATGAACAATTTGTCTTGTTCTGTTTTAAAATTTTCAAACAATGAAATAAAATTATTGTTCCACTTCGCTCTATTCCTCTTAGTTCATTTATTGCTAGAATTGATTCTAGAAGTGCTACAATTGATTCAATCTCATTGCTTAATTCCCTCTCATCATCATGTCTTTCAATTGATTCAGACTCAAATTGCATTGATTCATTCAAATTTGATCCAAACCTCTGTGACAGCTTCAATGCAACTATCCTTTCTAAGTCCCTGTCCAAATTCATGGTGGCTGCCCACCTTGGAAATTCGGAGTAATAAATTGGATTGATCCGACACTCTTCATTGGTAATATGACATCTTCAATAACGCGGTCGAGGGAAGGTCCACCCAACTTCATGCTATTCTTGAATGAAATGTATTTGTTCACTCCCTTCATACCCTGTGAAAGAGCCTTCAAACTCGAAACGTTCACCAATGAGATGCGGTTTTCAGCATGAAGCTCTTTGATGCTTGGAGGAAGCTCCAGCAAACAACCAAGGTTCTTGCAATTGTCTAAGGACAAAAATTGTAATCTCGAGAGATTCTTAATACTTGTAGGCAACATCTTCACATTGCTTTCATTTAGTCTTAATTTCATACAATGACAACAAGGAATCGGTGTTCATAGGGAGTTCAAGTTACCACAATCTTTCAAATATAGATGTTTCAATGATTTTAGACCATCAAATATGGCTTCTAACTTTGATTTAGAAAGCCTGAGATCAGTCAGTGATATCAGGCAACATATTTCTTTCGACAGATTCTTAAGTTTTAAATATTATTCTTTCAACTTTATGTGTCCTTTGACGAATCGAAAGAAAAAGTCAGTGAAAACTATAGCAAATCAACTATAATTTATAACAAGAAATATGTGATTGCCGCCATTAAATTACCTTGCTATTTTAAAATACATCACAAACTTCTTCAATATCTTTTAACCGGCTGCGTTTTCCAGGGTCCCTGCCAGTGCGGTATTTGTGTTGTCAAACTATATCAAAAGCCATTTTTTGAAGTAAGTCGTGCATTTGTATTCTACCGTTATATGAAATAGTGATAAGAGCTTTATCTTCAAGGATGTCTATTCCACTAGAAGCAGTGAAACCATAGGCATCTAGTATCCTTGTCACGAAATCTCTTTCTTCATCTTTGTAAAAGAAAGCAATGTCTAGAAATATTTCCTTTTCCTGGAGTGTTAATCCATTATAGCTCACTTTTAACACTTCTTGAATTTCATGTAAGGATTCCCCCTGTTCTCCAAAATTTTCAATTCAGGTTCCCAGAATTCAAGACTTCTAGAATAAAAATATGAACCCAGAACTTTTAAAGCTAACGGAACGCCTCCTGCATATCCAACCGCCCTTTGCGAGAGAAGTTTGTAACCCTTTTAGGGTGGTTTTGCTTGAAAGCTCCTAAACTAAAAAGCCTCAGAGACTCTTCAAAATTCCATTTTGTGACCTCGTATATCACATCAACTCTTCCCCTGAGCGCATGCCTATCTCTTGCAGTGACAATGAGTCTACTGTTTGGTCCAAGGACCTCCAGCTCTTCAAGCAAATATTCTAATTGTGCAGCATCGCCAACATCATCAAGTACAAAGAAAACTTTTCTATCACTAAGCATTCTCTTAATGAAGCCCTTATTCAAACTATACAAACACACCCAAGCCCAAAACGCCCAAAATATAAACTACAAAATTACAAGTTACATTTTAACACTACTATATGACGTATTTTTGACTCTGTAAAATACAACTGATTCCTGAATTTCGACTAACAACTTCGACACAGTCAAATACTAGCTTTTAATCAAAACGTCGAATTATAACGTCTAACACATAAGTTGTCATTGAGGAGAAAGTATCCTAACCTTAATCTTGATGATTTTTTTCAAATAAATTTGATACATTATAAGTATCGACATTTTCAACCTTGTCGACAATGCTTTTTTCATAGGACACTTTGATCCAACCATATCTGAGACCTTAATAACTCTTATTGCAAAAGTGAAATATCCTACTACTTTCAAAAAATTGAGACCTAATGGTCTCTTGCAACACTCTCTATAAGATCATCACAAAAATCTATGTCAAATGCTTGTGAACCTTACTTGATATTCTGATTGGTCCTTACTAAAGAAGTTAAGGCAAATTTTTAGATATCCATGACAACTAGTTGGGTGCTGACATCTTTAGTGTAAAATAATTTAAAATATTAATTGATTTTTAAATAAAATGTATATAAAAGGTAACATGACATTAAATGTAATTGTTTCATTGAATAAGGATATTGATACCCAACTAAATCTAAAGATACCAAAGTGTTCACCTAAGAACAATGCAACTCATCATGCCATGTGTCACCTCCTCATTCTAGTAAATCACATAGAAAGGAAATATAAGCATAGCCCAAATATCCCATTTTTTGCCCACAGAAGATGTCGTCCTCCTCATTATATTGAATGTGTCGCCTCCTCATTCTAGTTAATCAGCTTTCTCAAACATAGGCGTACATACTACACGTTTAAATAACTAACCGAATGAAAAATGTGGAACAGTGTAACTTATGCAAGCTTCATTAAATCAATGAAATTCATTACGAAACATAAAATATATAGTACATCATAGAAATAGCAAGGCAATGTTGCTTACACCAATATGAAATAGAAAAAAACTACAATTTACAAAGCCACCAGAACTCAAAGATACATATGGTCCTAAATCCATCTATTAGCTCACAAATAAGAAGTTAGAACCATGATGAGAATTATTATTGGAAAGGACAGGCTCACTGTAACCAGAATCCAAATTTCTGCCACATTTCAGAAATTAGTCTTGCCATTATGAACTGGGTTTATGTCAAGCTGGCGACGGCTGAAAAATCACGCTGAAGGAAACATGTACAATTTCGGGCCAAAGTGAGAAAAAATGTGTCAAGCTTGCAATTAGAAAGCACACACTTAGTAACTGATCCCAAGGAAGACATTTCTTTCTGTAGATTCTTAAGTCTCACTGTCTTCCATCTCATTACAAGTTCCAATTCATTTTGACAGACGTATCACTGCATCACACAAATCTGATTTCACCTCCGCACTCAAATTTATTTTGCTTAAAAGGCTTGGCAATTCTGATGACAAAATTGGGCAAATACCACACTCTTTTATATCGAAGACGCGATCATGTTCTCTCATATCATTTGTAAGGAAGAACTCAAATGAAACATTTTTTTTACCGAAGCCAAGTATGCTGTCCGAATGGTACGGATCATACCACACAAAAACATGCTCCATGTTTAAATTTGTAATAGGTTCACTGTACCACTCAGACACAATTCCCACCCTATTGCCATCTTCCCTATAGCATTTACATTGAATTTTAACACCACTACCACCATGCTCATTCTTCATTCTATTGGATGGAGAAATAACCACCCAGAAAATGAATCCCAAGGAGAAATATATGTCAGGATATCCAATAGTTAATTTGGAATCTGATGTTCGGTAATTGATCTGGCTTGGAACTTGGCTTCCTGGTAAGCAAACCACTGCACTGTTATAATTGTAGCTGTGAGCATCCAAACTGTATTGCCTTACTAATATGTTGTGAAATGCAACACTCTGCATTGTTAATATGACATCTTCCACAGTCCAGTCAAATGAAGGTTGATTCGAATTCATCATCACGTCATTCTTGAATGAAATGTATTTCTCTTTTCCTTTCATCTTTTCTGCAAAAGTTTTCAAACTGGACACAGTGACCAATGAAGTGCAGTTTTCGGCATGAAACTCTTTGAGTTCTAGAGGAAGCTCTGGGAGAGAATGAAGCTTTCTGCAATTGTCTAAGCATAAAATCTCTAATTCTGAGAGAAACTTGATGCTTGAAGGTAGCGTCTCCAGACTACTTCCATTGAGTCTTAACTCGTACAATGACGATAAAGAACTGATGTTTGTAGGGAGTTCAACCAGGTTACCACAACCTTTCAAACATAGTATTTTCAAAGATCCCAAACCATCAAATAAACCCTCTAAATTCAACTTAGTTACTCTGTCACAGTTAGAAAGTCGAAGTTCGGTAAGTAATCCCAGACAAGACAACTCCTTCGGTAGATTTGTGAGCTTTAAACCTTCTAAATTGAGCCACACCAGCTTGCTCATACCTCCGATTGTAGAGTGCAACTTTTCAACTCCCGTATTGCTTAAATCCAAACTTTCAATTGAATCTGAAGACACTGAAAATTCCTTCATGCTTAAACATTTGTAGACATTGATCTTTTGTAGGACTTTTAAGTGTTTCTCACTTACAAGACTTTGCAGATTTGTGCACCTATCAAGTAACAAAGTAACAAGTGTGTCCTTTAAAATAGAAGGTTGAATTTCGCACAAACTTTCACAGCCAGAAAGGTACAACGATCTGAGTTTTGACGCCTCAGACAAATCAGGGAGGTTGATCAAATGTTTGCACTCACTTAGGTCGATTGCCTCTAAATTCACAAGTTCCTGTAACAATTCAAAAAGAGAAGTCATATAATAATTTCTCTTCATATTTTGTATAAATTTAAATACTCGTTACATATTATTTGGTGTATTTGTAAAACAAGAAGTGTGTATAAATTAAATGCATTTTAAGTGTGGTCACAAATATGCATACGCACGTAACGCACCTGCCTCCCGTGCCAGAGGTATTCTACATTGCTATTTGGCAAGCGAATCTCAACAAGAAACTCAGCACAAAAAGGATCTGGAAGACACTTTATAGGGTATCCATTCCACTCAAAGTATCTAAGCTTATCAGAAAATTGCACAATGCCTTGATCAGAATGATTCAAGGTAGCCAATCTCTTCTTACCCAAAGGGACATACAATCTTAGAAATCTTAAATCAACCATCATGTCGAATGCGTCGGCTTTGACATATAAATTTGATTTTTGAGACAAATCAAATATTATGCCTTCCACAACATCAGCTCCCTGATTAAAAAAAAACATCAACCTCTTAAACAAAAGAAGTTCGTAAGCAATAGAAAATCAGTTATATACAACCACGTGTTAAAAAAGTTTAGCGCCATTCACCTTTTTATACTTAAGTACATCACGAACTTCTTCAATATCCCTAAATCGGTTACGCTTTCCTTGGCCATTACGAACTATATCAAAAGCCATTTTTTGTAGTAAGTCGTGAATTTGTATTCTATTGCTATTTGAAATGGTTATAAGAGCTTTATCTTCAAGTATTTCTATCCCACTAGTAGCACTGAAACCACACGCATCTAGTATCTTTGTGGCGAAATCTTTATTTTCACCTTCATAAAAGAATGCAATGTCTAGAAAAATTTCCTTCTCACGCTTAGTTAATCCATTATAGCTCACTTGTAGCACTTCTTGAATTTCATCCATGCATTCTCGTTTGTCCTTCAAATAATCCAATTCAGATTTCCAAAATTCAGGACTTCTGGTATGAAAATGAGAACCTAAAACTTTCAAAGCTAATGGAACACCTCCTGCATATGCAACAGCCCTTTCCAAAAGACCCTCGTAACCCTTTTGGGGACGGCTTTGCTTGAAGGCTTCAAGTATAAAAAGATTTAAAGATTCTTCGAACTTCCATTTTTTAACCTCGTGTATATCATCAACTCTTCCCCTGAGTGCGTGCCTATCTCTTGTTGTGATAATGAGTCTACTGTTGGGTCCAAGCTCATCAAGTTCTCCACACAAATAATCTAACTGTGCAGCATTACCCACATTATCAAGTACAATGAAAACTTTTCTACCATTGAGCCTTCTCTTAATGAATGTGTCTCCAATAACATCAGATGTAGTAATCTGTCTCTTTAGTAGCTCACTAAAAATATTATTACGTACTTGTGTTAGTCCGAGCTTTTCTGATTCTTCTTTTACCTTTTCCATGAAGCATACGCTGTCATATTGTGCAAAGTTTTTCACAAACATGAGCCTCGCTATGGTTGTCTTTCCTATGCCACCCATGCCCCAGATTCCAATTCTTGAAACTTTTTTCAATAATGAATCAACATATTTACTGTTTTCATCAATTTGAATGCCTTTCAAGACCTTAGGATACATCAGGGTCAACTTCTGCCAAACATCTCTCACAATATTCTCGATGACTTGAGAATCATCCCTAACCAAAATAGAGATAAATAGTATGTAAGTTATAACAATGTGAAATAAAAAAATAAAATAAACAAATCATGCTGAAGGAACATTTTCTTTTTGTAAGTTTGATCTTCGTCATACTTAAAGATGAATGTCTATAATGGGTTTTCTTAGAATTGTGGTTGGACCTAACTCAACCATACAAAATCGGCTTGTAAAGTGAAGATTGCGTCCACTTATAAACATATATTCATACCAGATATCATCCGACGTGAGACTCTTAACAGGTTTCTTGTTACTGAAATTTTGGATTTGGCGAGAAGGAGTCGGAATGGTTGTTTCTTGTTGAAAGTGGACAGTTTTTTGCTACCAACATCTAATTTTTTTCATGTTCAATTAGAAAGAAGGTATCTTTATGTAAGGGTTGGTATATCTCTTTACTTTCTATCTTTTGATAAGGCACCAAGAAGGTGATTCATGAGATTGTTTGGATACAAAGTAATATTGGATTGCTTATTGTATTCTTACTTCTCAAATGAAATGTCAGTGTATTGTAGAAAAGAATGCAATCTGGACTGAATTAGTAAGTGCCTAATTGGATACGCATTTCACATATGTTTCTTGCCTCCCAATTCGTTTTGAACATGACTTTTCTCGCCTCCCAATTTGCTTATACCACCACACAAATATTCTTCTCTATTATCCGTAAACATTTCCATATCTCTTCTCCATTTTCCCTCAAGACATAAACTTCATCATCGACATTTCAGAGGATAAAGGCAACATGCAATATGAGTGATGCAATGCTATTAATGAGTCATGGTAAAAGTAACTGAAGATAGTTGTCAAGGGAATTATGATTCAATAACCCATCAAGAATTGAATAATGATTTTGGATTTAACATAAAAGCTATGATTTTAGATGTGGTTTTTAACATGAATCCAAACACATACTTAGTTTTCTTTAATTTCCAATTTGATTTACAACAAACCCTAATAACAAATTCAATGATTCTACAATCTAACCTGATTTTTAATATCTTAGAAAACTAAAATAAATATAGAAATCATATAAAAGAACTTCAAAAACTAGCTGTAAAATGAAATCATAAATACCTGAAAGTAGTAGAATCCCATCCAGAAATATTAGCAGCTTCTTTGAGTGCAGCTTTCCAAGCCAACACTTTCTCTCGATGAGATTCATTGTTCCTAACTTCTCTCTCATATTTTGCAAAGGCTTTCTCGAAACTCTCTTTCTGATGACGCACATGTGATGGATCTACTCTATAGAACACAGGTATAACAACTTGACCGAGATTTTTTCTACACTCAAGTATTTCAACGAGTTCATTCAAACACCACTTTGAGGAAGCATAGTTTTCTGAGAATACAACGAGAGACAGAGTTGAGTTTTGAATTGCTTTGACAAGTTCAGGCCAAACTTGATCTCCCTTTTGAAGCTTGTAATCAATGTATGTCTCGATTTTTTCTTTCTTGAGTGCATCGTGAAGATGGCTTGTAAAGGTTTCACGGGTATCTTCACCCCTAAAGCTAATGAACACATCATACTTTTTGTGAGAGGTTGACATTTTCGGATACTCTTTTCTTGCTTCAATGGCTTGGGACAAATTTATTTGGGAAACTTTTTCCAGTAATGAATCAACATGTTTACTGTTTTCATCAACTTGAGTGCCTTTCAAGACCTTAGGATACACCATGGTCAACTTTTCCCAAACATCTCTAACAATATTCTGGATGACTTCAGACTCAGTCCTAACCAAAAATGCAAATAAATAATATGTGAAATAAAATAAAAAAAAACTAAAATAAATTTCTCATATAAAAGAACTTCAAAAAGTAGTAGTAAAATGAAATCTAGTTACCTGAAAGTAGTAGAATCGTATCCAGAAATATTAGCAGCTTCTACAAGTGCAGCTCTCCAAGCCAAGACTTTGTCTCGATGAGATTCATTGTTCCTAACTTCTCTCTCATATTTTGCAAAGGCTCTCTCGTAACTCCCTTTCTGATGGCGTACATGTGATGGATCTACTCTATAGAAGACAGGTATAACGACTTGACCTTGATTTTTTCTACACTCAAGTATTTCAACGACTTCATCCAAACACCACTTTGATGAAGCGTAGTTTTCTGAGAATATAACGAGAGATACAGTTGAGTCTTGAATTGTTTTGACAAGTTCAGCCCGAAATCGATCTTCCGAGCGTAATCAATGTATGTTTTGATCTTTTCTCTTGTGAGTGCACCGTAAAGATGGCTTGTGAAGCTTGCACTTGTATGTTGGCCTCTAAAGCTAATGAATACATCGTGCTTCTTTCCAGAGCTTGACATTTTCAGATACTCTTTTCTTGTTTCAATGGCCTGGGATTTACAGAGACTGTGGTTCAGATCATAAGAGTCAACGCAACCTTAATCATGCTTATATCTTATATTTTTAAATGTCACTTTCTTCTTTGATAAAAAAATTTCCACAGGTAAAGTTCAAAGGTATTGTTTTTTAAAATATTAAATTTATAAATAATAATAGTAAAATTATCAAAATAATGAGCTAAAATTCTATAAATAGAGATATTAAATTTAAATCATTCTTTTATTTTTCTTATGTACGAAAATAAATGAAAAAACTTTATTCAGTAAAATATTATTAATCAATATACTTAATGTAAATGTAAATGTGAGGTTTATGATAAAATTTCTAAAGTATTTTGAAGGAGATTCGCTGGTCAACTCTTTTGCATCTAATTTGCATAAATTGTTGGGGCGAATTGAATCTAAAATTTAGTGTAAACACACGCTTTTGAATAATTTTGTATAACTTTCATCGTACCGTCTTCATCATCTTCTTCTTGTTCATATTTTGTAGCAGACCCCAACACAAGATATAACAATCTTTAGGCTTGATTTTCGATTTTGATCCATCCTTTATTTCTTATTAAAGTATCCATACTTTATTACGCATTTAATTCATATAATTTTTTAAATTATGGAATTTTGATTTCTGAATCTTTTTGTTTGGGATTGATTTGTGACTACAACAGATAAATGAACATTCATACTTTCTTATTCATAAATAAGGTGAAAGATACATAATCATATTAAATAAATATGTCATTTATATGATATTTTAAATTCATGTAAAATAGGTTTAAAATAATATTTATTTATGTTAATTTAACACATGGAATAAGTTATGCATAGTTTATACATTATTGAAGTATGTGAATTTGAATAATTAACAATATTTTTGGTTTATGGTGTATACTTGAACATAAAATACATGTTAAATATTATTTTTTGTGCAAATAATTTGTTTTAATTAATAATGCATTAATTTTGAATAAAATGATTTGTGAGAAAAAAATCATGAATTTGAATGTATGGTACATGTATTGGTAACATGAAATGATATAAATAAAATGTTAGAAATATCAAGGACATGTTCAAATTGTTTCATTTGTATTGTAATTTTTATTTGGATTTACTATATAACAATATTATTAAATATGAAACATGAATTTATCACATAAAATTTTGGCTTAATGCATTCTTTGATCCTTTAATTTAATTTAAGATTTCACTTTAGTCTCTTATTGAATAAATGTTCGTTTTAAGTCTCTTAAATGTCATTCGGTTAGTCACATTAGTTCTTTCTGTTAAATTTTATCAAATTTCGCTAACTTGTGTGTATATGACACTCTAACTAACTGCAAATTAAATGAAATAGAATATTTATTTCATTAATCATCTGCTTATAATTAAAAAACAAAAGTAAAATATTTATTTGGAAAAGAGAAATGATTTTTTATTTGAGTTAATGATAATGAACGTGTGTGTGCGTGCTCGCATGTGCATGTGCGTGTACGTGTGTGTGTGAGTGTATGTGTGCACGCACGCGTTTATGTGTTTGTATGCGTGCGTATGTGCATGTGTGTTTCAGATATATGTACGTGTGTGTATGTGCATGTGTTTCAGATATATGTACGTGTGTGTATGTGCATGTGTTTCAGATATATGAATTTCTACGAGGGTATGTGTGTGCCAATACATGAATTTCTAAAAGGGGGTAAGAATGTTATATCTTTAGCTTAAGTATATGCACGATTCTCACAATGTCAAACTACCACATCAGATTAAATGCAACATAGTGGCACGGTTCGAGTAAATAGTGGCGGATTGGTACAAGTTCAGTTTTACTTCTGTGCAGTATTTTAATTATGTCTAAAGTTTTGTAACTCTAGGTATAGTAAAACCAGAGCTCTAGGGATACAACTTCATAAAGAATTTAAAGTATAATTTGTATTGTAAAATGAGAGAAATTAGATAGTAAAAATTTGACGTTGTCACGATGTTTGATGGGTAAAATTAGACTATTCTCTAAACTCTAAAAACTCAGTAGTAATGAGAAGTAAGACAAGAGTTTCAATTGTTTCTACATCTTTGGTTCTAATGAGAATTAAAAATGAAGGCTACCATTAGAATATTCATCTTTAATCATTAGTGAGTTTTGTAATTCACTTTCAATTGTAAAAATCATGAATCTTTTAAGGGTGAGTGGATAGTTAGTTTAAATTAGGTTTCTTATAAATGATTATACCCTAAACATGTATGTAATTTTATGTGGGTATTTTTTTTAATGAAACTTTGTTTATAATTATATAGTTTCTCTCATCTAAATAATTGAAATAATTGATTTAGATGACAACTATGACTTAGCGGTGAAATGCTCACCTAATTCATAAAATTATGAGAATGTAATGATAGATTGCGTTAGGACATGAATAGTATCAGACATTAGTCTAATTTTACTTGCTTTAAAATTTTTGTTGCGATTGGAGATTTACAATGACAGGAAGTTGATTTGACGAAACAGGTAGTCGTGCAATTGTAGACTCCCAGGAATTAGGGGTTACGAGGTCGTAGTTCTATGTTTTGTAATGTTGTCTTCTTATTTTATGTATTATAAAATCTTCTTTGTTACAATTCAAGTATTCAAGTAGCTTGAGGATGTTTTTTATGAAAATAGTTGTCTTGCGATTGAAAACTTTCGTAACGGGGGGTTATGAATTCATAATTCTGTGTTTTATAAAAGTTTATAATTGAGATAAATTTGATACAACACTAATCATATAAGCACTCACATTTAGGAATAGATTATTTAAAAAAGAAACTTAATCGCTTTTGTAATTATCTACACTGGCATCCAGACGGGCACTCGCGTGTCCGTCTGTCCGCTTTTTTATTGCACACATATAAATATAAATGATGTATTTTTATTTAATATTAATTTTACATGAAAGTTATGTGGGAAGTTATTAGTAGGGAGTTATATGAAAGATGATAGTAGTAGTTCAATAGAAGCTATTGTGTAAGTTATATATTTTAAAATAAGGATAAATTTGGTATAAAAAAAGCTACACCAAAAACCAAATATTACCTTTATATATGTTATAGATTATAGATTATAGATAAATCATTAGTTAACATTTTTTTATTTACAATTACGAACTTAAACCAATCAATCACGCTACGCATTCAAACAAATATGACCTAAATATCAAATTAGATGAATGCACTAGAGGCAAAGCCTTTGTACCTTAAAACATGGAAAGGTTGCAACAACACTTTCTCTAAAGGGACATTGGACGAAAGTAAGTTCTCTCAAATGGTTAGTAATATGAATTCTTCAACGACTAATATCATGTTCCTTAAGTCATTTTATTCATATGAAGTTTGACAAAAATCGTCTTGTAAACCAAAACTGTCTATGCTAGTATATTCTATGTTTCAACATTCGGAAGAGCTAGCTACAAGATTAAAGAAATAGGGCTTAAAAATATTTCCAATAAAACTATCATTATCAATTAGCATTATGTCTTCTAACATCAAAACTATAACATAGTTACTACCATGTTACAGCTTTAAATCAATGTCTAAACATAACTTCAAATGATTTAGATACACTAAAAAGGGAATCAATATCTAGTACTATACTATTTAAACATTGAGATGTTGGCCATTCCATCTTTCCCATATATAACACACTTGGATTTCTTATTTTGAATTTGAGTCACATAACTTGACCACCAAAATTTTATGAAAAAAATATTTGATATCAGGCCAACAAATTGTTCGTATAAGCTTCTTTTAGAATTACTCTTCTCGATTTTGAATCATTTGACGCGGACATTCTCTGATTGAGCAGAAGAACTCCATCCCCAACTCGAGTGAAACTTAAATGGTCAACTCAAACTCGCAACTCAGCATCTGACAACTAGCAATGCCTTATCCTTTCCCTCATATCAGATGCGATACTCATCTGGCTGATTTGAATTTCTACCTGAGTACATGTGATCTGTAGATCAAGGTTTCATAATCTTTCCACCAATCATGGTCTAATATCATTAACTCGACCATATGCCTGTCTTTGTTGTTGAGCGCATATGCCACCTTATTAGCTTTTCCCTTAATGAAACTTCAACTCAAAGTCATAATCTTTCAAATACTCCATCCATCCCCATTGACGTATGTTCAACTCCTTCTACTTAAAGAGATACTTCAAACTCTTTTGATCACTAAACATCTCAAAGTGTACTCTCCATAGGTAATGTCGCCACACCTTGAGTCCAAAGATGATAATAGCTAGTTCAAGATCATGTGTCGGGTAATTTTTCTCACGAGTCTTTAACTGACGAGATGCATACGCTACCATTTAGCTATTCTGCAGTAGAACACATCTTAACCCTTTCTTTTGATGCATCACAAACTACTTCATATTTCTGGTTACGGTGAGGAATCACTAGTACGGGAGCGGACAGTTTTTCTTTTAACTTGTGAAAACTTTGTTCACATTCCGAATTACAATCGAAGGGAACTTCCTTGCGATTGAGCCTTGTCAAAGGTAACATCAACTGAGAGAATTCCTTTATGAATCTTTGATAATACTTCTCAGGTATTTCCCCATTTATCATTACTTCTACCTTTGAGGGATCTAACACCGCACCTCCTTGAGATATTAATTTGTGTGAGTTTGTCAAAAACATGGTTTAGACAGTGTTTATGTGTCGATTGTATCTTTCCCATGCCTCGCAAAGATTTTATGTTATTCCTTGGGAAAACATCGCGATGGTTGTCTTGCCTTCCATGAATTTGTTGTGAGAAAATAATCTGTTTAGGAACTTATCCACCAACAAGTTCTAGTTTGTCTCGTCAATATGGATTGATCTAGATATCACTCCTTTGATTTTATAATTAAGATAGTGTGGGAAGAATTGTAGGAATACATCCGCTTACTCATTTCCGGAGCTCCTAGCGTACTAGTAAATTCGTAGAATTATATGAGGTGCGCGAACGTGTCTTCATGATCTAACCTTGCAAAAGGATTAACATATAAAATTTACAATAATCTTGTTTTCATTTTGCTTTTTTAGACATTCTTTTGTGTTATAGAGATATGAGTTAGACATTTGGGAGTGTGTTGACACGGTGTGTCACCATTGTTGTTTCCATTGTTGTTGGTTGTTGGTGTTGTTGTTGATAACTTCAGCCATGGTTCCTTGTGTTGAGACATACGAATCTTTTAGATCTAGCCTTTTGACTCTTTATTTCTTTTTTCTAATTTTACTAAGGTTTTTGTGTGCAGTTGTTTTGATTTCAGGATCGAATAACAATTTTTCTGTAAGAACCTTACTTCGTATAAACAAGTAAATACACACTGATTCTAAAGATTAATAGGTTAATGTTTATATATATATATATATATATATATATATATATATATATATATATATATATATATATATATATATATATATATATATATATATATATATATATATATATATATATATATATATATATATATATATATATATATATATATATATATATATATATATATATATATATATATATATATATATATATATATATATATATATATATATATATATATATATATGGACGGTTCCATCTATTTAAGTATTACTTCCATGATCCACCGAAACTACATTTGCGCCTAGCACACCTACCGTGCTCTACAAACTCTGCTCAGCCAACTTTTCTTCCTCAAGAAGCAATGCTTACATGTCTTCCACATGTATTTGTCCGCCTTTGCTCGACTAATGCACCATCCCCTTCGACTAGCGAGCAAACCCTTGTTTCACCATGAAGTAGTTGTAGTTGATTGTACCATTTTCCTATTCCATATCACACTTAGCGCGCCTATGCTAGGCCTTGTAAGCCTGGTTTCTTCAAGTTTTTGCGTTGGCCTATTTTCAGTGTGGTGAATTGTTGTTTTCTAGTTCTTTTTCACCTGTTTTTGATTAATGCACACAAGAAAAATCCAAACAGGTGTTTTCTCACTTTTCATAGATAAATTGGGGGGTTTTGTAACAGTTGCTTGTGAATTAAGTCAATAAGTGATGACATGTTTAACGTAAATCTGACACTTATCAGCTACCTAAAACATGCTTTCATGGCGTGACCTGACATCGAAAGGCATTTGTCATTACTAGATCCAAGATAAGCATCTATTAAATACTAGTGCTTAGAGATAGAGTTAAGTTCAATATCTGCATGTATTGTAGTATGGATTGGTGTGGAGTCTTGCTACTTAATAACTGTTAAAACTTAATGTTTTGTGTTGGTCAATAGCTGATATATCATACTATTGGGTAATGCATTGATCTCACAATGCCGATACTGAAAGGAAATATGAATGAGAGCAACATGTGGTAATATTAATAGTTGAGAGAGGAGTATATTACTTACCTATGGATATGCATGATATATACTTAATAATGAAATCTAACCCTAGCAAGATTTCTTACTCTTAACACCAAAATCACCATTTTACTTTTTGTCATTTATTTTTATGATATTTACTTTCACGCATCATAACAAATACACAACCCTTCTTTACATAAGATCTTAGAAACTTTTGAATGATTTTTGAAATCACCAATCTCTGTGGATACGATAGTCGTAAAACTTACTTTTGTTTCACAACAAACAGAGTGAGACTTTCATTCCCCGTATCCACTATAGGATCTAAACTTGTAACATCCATTCTCTACGTACTGACTATGGAATAGAGGTTGTAGCCACCCCTTCTCTTCTCATTTAGAGATTGCATTGATAATATTCTTGGGTGATCTCTTGGTCCCCATGAACCACCCAACTCCCACGTTAGGTAGCATATACTTCATGCTTAATTGTATAGTGGATATGACGGCCCCAAGTAGATTTTATTGCTTTGTCTTTTGTTGTATTTCTATTTTTTTATGTGAAACTGTGGTAAAAATGGCAACCAGAACTATATAAATAAATGGTTGTGACTGTTATAATAAATGGTTGTGACTGTTATTTATAGAGTTCCGCTAAGGCATTCTCGCTTAGCAAAACCTTTAGGTTGCATAACGAGCCTATTTTTCTTCACCTCTAAGTCATGTCTAGCTCATCCCCAAATGGGCTCTGGCCTCCATAATTCTCTTAGCGAGCCTCCCTTTCACGCCTAGCGAACAAACCCTTCATTCACTCTAAAGTAACTTAGTCAAGAAGTCTTTGAACTACCTCGTATCTCTTAGAAAGGTAGTTGTCTTGTTAAGCAAATATCTTCCTTCTTTGTGAAGAAAATTGACTTTGAAGTAATCTTTGAACCGACATAGCTCGCTTAGCGATACCCCGTTCTTCGCTTGGCGAAGAGATCCAAAAAAGGGTTGTCTCTGTAGTTGGCTTAGCGAGATCTTGCCTTGCTTAGAGAATGTTCTTTTAGGCTGTGAGAGCCTCAATTTCACCCAACGGGGCCTCTGCCATTTAGCTCCACTCTTTTTTTTTTTTACAAAATGACTTATGATTTGGGACAGAGATAATATTAGTTTTGTTATTAAAACAAAGGACATTTTTTAATCATTTTTCCTTCAAATATGACATTTAATCATTTTTCCTTCAAATATGACATTTCGGACAGAGATAATATTAGTTTTGTTATTAAAACAAAGTGACTTATGATTTTTCCACTCAATATTTAATCATTTTTTTAAAAATCGTTCAAATATGACATTTTTTAATTATAAAACAAAGGAACTAACTTATAAAAAGAAATGATTGGAGCACAACTCCCTCTTCCCCTTAAAGTACATTTTTCCTTCTTTGCCATTAAATAAATAAAAAAAAGGAAACAAATAATCATAGAAAAATAGATATAACATAAAATAAAAAAGAATCACAGAGAGGCACATTGATATCATGTTTAAAAATAAACATAAGGTCACACTCCTCTCCATGGTGGGCGGCATCCAATTTTGAAACCAATTTATCAAGGTAAGTTTTTGTTAATCCACCTTACCTTGTTGATCCCCTCAAGAAGAAACCAAATCCAAACATTTGCATAAAAAAACACAACTACTTGACCAATCATAATAACATATAATTTGTCCATTGTAATATATATTGATAAATATCCTTCTCAAATAATCAAATTTCCTATCTATATAATAATTAAGATAAATTAATTATTCATTAAATCTAAAATAAAAAATAAATAAAAAATATAATAGAAACTATAAGGACTATATATTTTGGAAGTTGTTCTCAAAGTTTATTCAAAGCTATAGGAATTAACAAGCATAACAATAAGGTGAATTCTGGCATAATGTTCTTTAAGCTTCTCATAATTTGAATCTAACTCCATCTTCTTCTTTTTGACATTATCAATCTTCTCCCCAATTTGTATAGTCTTAGAGGTGCAACTTCTCTTGTTGAACCTTAAGAGCTTTTTCCTCCAGCAAAACAATCTGTGCTTTAATATCTTCAATTTCAACATCCATGACCTTAATCTTATCCTCACCGGCAATGATGGACTCTTCGAACTTCTTCATCTTGTTTTTAGATTCTTGAAGCTTGGATTTTGAATCTTCATGGTCCACATTAAGTTGTTGAAGAGTAGCATTGCTCCGTTTTTCTTCATCAATATTGACTGTGGCCTCATTCAAGATTGTGGTGAAATCAGTAATACCATACAAAAACATGATCCATGGATAAAAAAAGGTAGAACCTTGGACAAGCGGTCACCTAATTGGAAAGTACCATTCAGAATCCTATTCACAAATAATGAATATGAGGTCGAAGAATTGACCCTGAAAGTCAAATCCTGCGAATAAATAGTAAATATTTGAAGCAGTATAGACCTATATTGTAGGAAGTACATATTAACACAGAATAGAAATTTTACTTCAATATTAAAAAGGCTAGAAAACATTAGCCTAAATGTCGAAGATGCCACAAAAGGCATATTTAAAAGATTACAAAACCAAAGTGTCATTCAAATGACGTAAAACCTTAACAGAAATAATAAAATGCAAGTCCTAGAAAGGAAAAGAGGCTTTGAACTTGTCATATTGGATCTTTGCTGCAGATAGTCGACGATCAATTTGTGAAATAGTAGAGGCAAAACCTTCAATCTCAGCATCCAAGTTACTGACATTTTCAAAATGTTGGATTCCAATCAAGGCCACTGCATCCAATTGTTGTTGACTAGTTTTTCGAAGGTCAACCTTTTCGCCTTCAGCCTCTTTCACCTTTAACTGCAACGCCTCAATTTCTTTCTTCCATTTGAGGATTTTGGCATCCAAGGCAGCAACATGTTCATCTTCTTTGCGGAGAGCATTTTCCAATTGTTCAGCTCGGTCGTTGGATTCATTAGCCAAGCTCCATTCCTTCGACCGGGTATCCTCCTTGGGTTTCATCTTTGTTCGCGCTTCATTTTTTCTCTGGAAATCGGCAAAGATTTGGTCGAAGAGTGGGCCAAATGCTACCACAAAGTTGACAGCAGCGCTGGAGGCATTAGGGACATCAAGTTTTTTCAACAATGACTTTATTCCATAACCATGGACGAAGTTCTTTTCAAGTGCTTCAAACAAATCAGCCTCTGCAAGTTTGACCTTCAGTTGTTGAAGAACCCCATCAACAGTCTCAAGTGGAGTGCTCCCTCCAGAAATTGTCGAAGAGCTTGAACACTTATCAGTCGAACTACCCCTTGTACTAATCATTAGTTTCAGGCGGGCTAGTGGATTGGTCTTTTTCATCTCTGCTAACTCCTCTTGAGATAGAGAGTTATTTGGTGAAGAAGTTGGTTTAGCAGTTGCAGTCTTTGCCGTTTCCTTTTCGATCTCTGGTGCAGTCTTTGCAGTTGGTTGTTCAATGTTTGCGAGAGAGTCAGTAATTTCTGGATTCTTGTGGGCATCATTGCTTTGGTTGGGGCTGCCAGGAGGAGAAGTGTCTTTTGGCTCTTCTTGCTCAAGAGTTTCGTCTTGAGATGCATAGTCCATGTTCATTTCATTTTTGTCTTCGCCATCCGTTGTTGAAGATGATGTTTCAGAAGGTTGGTCTTTGTCAGCTGAATCATGAGATGCATTGTTGTCTGCTTCTATAGGTTTATTAACTTCAGCAAATTCTTTGAGTGGAGTAGGTTGGATCAAATGGGAGCTAGAAGTTTGGGGTGTTGGACGTTTGAAACTCGACACAGGATTGGTCGAAGGATTATCCTGCAAAAACCTGAAATCTTAGTATTTGAAAAAATATTGAGCAGAGAAAAGTGTTAGTATATTGCCCGTCAGCATCATGTAATCGATATCGAATCTCTGTAATTCAGTTTTAACTCTATCTCTATCTCTATTCAAAAAAGAGAAATCCTTGCACAAAGAAATAAACCTGAGAATTATTATTCTCTCCTTTCTTTCAACTTGACATCAGAGCAGATCTCTCTTGCCTGCGCCTCTGATTCATCATGGCTTACAATTCCTTAGTCAACAAAGAAGAGGAGAATAATATTCCCCAAAACACATTGTCTTTAAAGCAAAGAGCAGATTGGTGATTCTCATTCAATCCAAATCACCTTTTTCGACTCAATGGGTCAAACTACTTTCGGTGGTCTCAATCTATCAACGTACACCCGAGAAACATTCCCGTTCTAGCTCACCTATATCAATTTCTATAGAACATGGGGTGGAAAAAACTACTCTAAACAAGGATCAAGTTGAGGAGTTCATAACGTTATTAAAATCTACATCTTTAACTGGTATTCCTATTCTCTAGTACAAACAGGTAATTTTAGTACCCATGCCTCTCTAAATTGTACCTCAAATATGGATGCACAGTGGATCATAGTTTCAGGTCCTGCTGTTTTGTTGTTTTTGGTTGTAATATATTACCAACCTTTTGATAGAACAGGAACAAGAAACTTATCTATAAACAATATCACAGTAGGGAATTGCCCAATTTTACTGAAAACACTTCATAATTTTCGAGGAATCTTAAACCTCCCAAATACAATTCTAATTCATCGATAATTCTTTATTTTCAATCCATTCTCTTCAAAAGTGGTGCCTATAACATTGTACCAAACACTTTTAGGAACCGTGCCTATAACATTATACCTAAATTTTATCCTTAATTCTATTCTTCAAAAATGGATACTATAAATATTAAACCGAACACAAAACAATCATCAAAGTCATAAGAAAATTCTAAATTTGAGGGATGAAATTATGTTAGTGAGAGAGTACATATTAGATTAGAACCATAAAACTTGTCTATTTCATTTCATGGACTATATATATAACGAGCTTTCATTTTCCCTTGCTTAAAATCGAAAAGATTAAGAGGATAATTGTGATATAATTAGCAGGGATAAAGAGGTCAAAGGTGTATAAGTATTACCTTAATTACTTTATTTATAGACAATTCTACATCAAAACTTCCTCCGGTAGAATCTTCCTCCTTCTTGATTTGTTTTCTCTTGTTGGAAGAAGTTTCAGTTTCCTCACTGGACTTCAAAGAAGTACTGTTATGAAGAATCTCAGATTTCATCATTTCTTTGGAATTATCATTATCTTTCAATTTTTCTTTCTCTTGAGGATTGCCATGTACCTGAACATCTTTAGAGACTAAAGAAAAAGAAATTGTGAGTTTGACAGAAAAAATTGACTATCTAATCATAGGAAAACAAATAGATTAAATAGTAGAGTATTGGATTGTAAATGAAAAACAACGAAAGAAAGATAACATATAACATCTGTGAATTAATTTGAAAAGTTTCATACCAATTAAACAGTCATATGAACGGTAACAATTTTCATTCAAGTCCAACTCTTGGTTCTGTATGTCAGTGCCTTCCTTGCCATCACCTATTTCATTTGATTCAATGTCAATGCCTTCTCCCTCATCATAGCCTTCACCTAATCTCTCAAATTCAATTTCCTGATACAACTCTAATTCTAAGCCCTTATCTAAATTCCCTGTGCCTAAAACCCTCTTACTTTCTGAGTAGTAAATTGGACAAACGCCACACTCTTTGATGCTTACAAGGCCACCAAGTTTTCTGCCGTTACTTGTATAAGTTGTAATGTGGAATTTAAAAGAAACCTTTCGCTCACCCCTTACGAGTATGCCGTCAGAATGGTATGGATCATACCATAGAAAAACGTGATCGGTGATCAAATTTGAAACCAGTTTATGATTCCAGCTAGACTCATATCCCACCTGCGTCCTTCTATCTTCCGAATAGCACTGACATAGGATTTCAACAGAGTATCCATGCTGTTGTGTTATGTTAGATGGAGTAACAACAACTGAGAAAATGAAGCCCACCGAGTTGGAAATGTCGATGGTTACAGAGGAATATTTTGTTGATCGGTGTTTGAACTGACTTGGAACTCTGTGTCCTGGCAGACAAACCCCGGCACTGTTATAATTGAAGCTGTGGGTTTGGTATCTGTACTTTCTCACTAATACATTGTGAAAGGCAGCACTTTTCATTGTTAACATGGCATCTTCCGTAATGCGGGCAAGGGAGGGTCCATCCAATTCCATCTTAATACTATTCTGAAACGAAATGTATTTTTTCTGTCCAATCATGTTTGTTGAAAAAGTCTTCAAAGTGGATACTGTCTTTAACGAGGAGCAGTTGTCGGCCTGAAACTCTTTGATGCTCAAAGGCAGTTCTGGCAGACATCGGAGCTTACTGCAATTGTCTAAAGACTGAACTTCTAGCTCTGAGAGGTACTTGATGGTAGCAGGCAACTCCTCCACACTGCTTCCATCTAGTCTCAATTCATGCAATGATGATAACAAACCAATGTTTGCGGGGAGTTCAAACAAGTTACAACAGTCTTTCAAGTGTAATAATGTTAATGAGCCCAGACCATCAAAAAGGGCTTTTAACTTTGATTTAGTTACTACACTACACTTAGAAACCCGAAGTTCAGTAAGTGATCTCAAGCGAGACAATTCAATCGGTAGATTTGTTAGATTTAAACCTTCTAGATTCAACGAATAAAGCTTATTCATATCTCCGATTGATGGGTACAATATTTCGATTCCTGTATTGCTTAAATCCAACCTTCTTATTGAATCTGAAGACAACGAAAATTCCTTCAGACTTGAGCAGCCTTTGACACTGAAATTTGCCAGAGATGTTAAATGCTTCTCACCCATAAGACTTTGCAATTTGGTGCACCTATCCAGTAGCAAAGTATTAAGTGTGTCCTTAGAAAAAGAAGACGCCTGAACTTCACATAAATTTTCACAGCCAGAAAGGCGCAACTCTTTTAGTTTTAATGCCCCCGACAAATCAGGGAGGTCGATCAACTGTTTGCACTCACTTAGGTCGACTGCCTCTAAATTCACAAGTTCCTGTAATAATTCAAAAGGACACTTCAAATTTTATTTAAATTGGCCTTCAAACATCCATTCATTTTCACACCATGCAAGGGAATTAAACAAAACTGCATGGTAGAACTAAACATTATTAAATCAACTTCTCTCATTTTCATTTGCATAAAAAACGAAGAAAAAAACCCCACAATCTAAATGAATTAGTGTAAGTGCACTGCACACATACCTGCATCCCGAACCAGAGATGTTCAATGTTGCTGTACGGCAAACAAATCTGAATCAACTGCTCAGCACGGAAAGGTTGTGGGAGAGACTTCAAGGGATACCCATTCCATTCAAGGTATGTCAATTTGTTAAAATATAGCTTAAAATTTTCAGGAAGATGCACTGTGCCCAATTTCTTCTTACCTTTGGGGACGTGGAATTTAAGAAATCTTAATTCAGTCATCAAGTTGAATGTGTCAGCTTCAACTTCTAAATCTAGCTTTTGAGACAAATCTAATATTATTCCTTCAACTGCATCAATTCCCTAACAAATTCAAAGAAGTCATTACATTATCGCAGCAAATCAACTGTAATTTTATATTTAGCAAAATGGTAACACTTAACACCCCATACCTTGTTATTTCTAAGTACATCACAAATGTCTTTAGCATCTTTCAGTCGACGACGCTTTCCTCGATCATTATCTTCTTGTCGAGCAATATCATATGCCATCTTTTGTAGTAACCCATGAATCTGTATCGTATTACTGTTTGAAATGGATATAAGAGCTTTATTTTCTAGGATCTCTACTCCATTAGTTGCATTGAAATCACAGGTGTTTAGTATCCTTGTGACCAAGTCTTTGTTTTCATCTTTGTAAAAGTGTGCAATGTCTAGAAACATCTCCTTCAGTCGCCATGATAATCCATTATAACTTACCTCTAACACTTTTTGAATATCGGGAAAGGTTTCTCCTTTGTTCTCATAATTTTTCAACTCAGATACCCAAGACTGTGGTTCTTTTGATTTAAAATGTAAACCCAAAACTTTTAAAGCTAATGGAACACCTCCTGCATATTCAACTGCCCTTTCCGAGATACGCTCGTAACCCTTTTTAGGATGGCTTTGCCGGAAGGCTCCTAAGCTAAAAAGCTTTAGAGAGTCTTTAAGCTTCCATGGTGTGACCTCATATATCTTATCAACGTTTCCACTAAGAATATCTTTGTTTCTCGTTGTGATAATGAGTCTACTGTTATGTCCATGGTCGTCAAGTACTTCACACAAATCATCTAGTTGTGTAGCATTATCAACATCATCAAGTACAATGAAACTTTTTTTACCACTGAGCCTCCTCTTGATAAATGTGTGTTGTCCGTGAACGTTAGATGCAGTAATTTCTCGCTTCAGCAGCTCACTGAGAAGCTTATTACGAACATACATTTGTCCAAACTTCTCTGATTCTTCGCCTACATTTTCCAAGAAACACACATTATCATAATGGGCAAAGTTCTTGGCAAACATCTGTTTAGCTATGGTTGTCTTTCCTATTCCACTCATGCCCCAAATTCCGATTCTTGGTACTTTTTTCAGTAATAACTCAATGTGTTCATCGTTTTCATCAACCTCAACAAGGTTTTTCAGTTCATTAGGAAACATGAGAGACAACTTCTGCTTAACATCTGCCACAACATCGTGGATGACTTGAGAGTAATCCCTAGAAGATAAAACATCAAATTAAACTTAAAGGAAAACTTTAATTTGGTAAATTTCTTAAATGCTATAAGAAAACAGGATCAACCCGTGAATGGGAGCATTTGTGATGGTGAATGATTCGATCGGACCCCTCATATGTAGCAAAACAAGTATATGAGTATATATTATCAACAACCAGAATCATCATATCATATGTTCATCACTAATTCAGCATACAAATATAACTAACTAGCTACAATTTGAAAAGTTAATTACAAATATATAGAACATAAGAATGAATATGAGTTTAGAGGAATTAAATTAATGGTACTTGCCTATATTTGCGAGAGTCCCATCCAGATATATTGGCGGCCGAAGAGAGAGCAGTTTTCCACTCCAACACTTTGTCTATATGAGAGTTACTGCTGGCTAGTTCTCTCATGTATCTTGCAAATGCTTTCTGATAACTCTTTTTCTGATGACGTACATGTGATGGATCTACGTCACAGAACACAGGTATAACTACCTGTCCATGAAGCTCTCTGCACTCTAGTATGTGGAGAAGTTCATCCAAACACCACTTAGAAGTTGCATAGTTTTGTGAGAAAACTACAAGAGAGATATGTGAGTCCTTGATTGCTTTGGCCAGAGAAGGTCCAACCTCATCTCCTTTCTTAAGATTATAATCAATGTATGTATTGATATTGTCATCTATAAGAGCTTGATGAAGCTGGGCAGTGAAGGTTTTACGAGTGTCCTCTCCCCTAAAGCTAATGAATACATCGTACTCTTTGTCAGAAGTAGGCATATTCACGGTCACTTACTTGTATCCCTGACTGCTCAGATCCTGATCCTCTTTAGTAGGTAGCTCTAACAAAGGTCCAAGAAAGAGGCTGATTTTTTTCACTCTTCAAGATTACTCTTTTTTTCACTCTTTGTCAACGCTTTTGCTCTGGTGTTTACTGCGTTTATAGATATGAAAGAATGGGTCAAGATGATTTATGCTGAATAAGTTATGCATGAGTCATTCAGCTAATAAAATATTATTAATAAAGAGAAGAAAAATGTTAGTCCCAAATATCATTAATATTTTTCTCACATTCTCAATATAATATTAATGATATTTTCTTCAATATATCCTCAAGTATGTATTATTATTTATTTTTTTAACTCTTTTGATTTTTTTCTCTTAGATAATTATAAAAAACATTACTGTAAAATCATAAATAATTTGTATTTTTTTAAAATAATAATTAAACTTTTTAATTTGTGTGAAATATCTAAAACATCTTATAATATGAGAGGGAGAAAAAAACACAAACTCTAAACTATTTTTAGAGCATATGATTATGTCTTCTAATTTCCTCCAGAACCAATGATATATATTTTGCATTTGTCGTATCAACTCATATTTTATAATTTATGTATGCAACCATCATGATGTCGTCTTGTTTTTCTTCAAATTTTATAGCAATTGTCCGACACAATATTTAACATACTTAATGACATATAATCACAATTAATAGAGTAATAACCATAATTTAACTTTTAAAATAAAAATGACTAATAAGATTACATTGAGAAAGTTTTTTATATTTTTATTAATTTCAAAGATTTATTGTGACATTGTGTATTTAATTGACTAATAAGGATTTGTTCTCTCTCTTTTTTTTTCCTCAACAAAATAGAAGCAAATTTGTCATACCTCTAACAAAAGAGTAAATTTAATAGTTATATGAGACTAAAGTCTCATTTTAATGGGCTTAGTTCGAAAGTTACTAGTAGTATGATTATCTGAACGTACAAAATTAATTGAATGTGACTATAGAATAGAGTATTTGATATAAAGTAAAGAGCTGTTTGAAAAAGATGGGATGGACGGAATGGAAAGGTCACGGATGTGTGAGAAAAAAGAAAAAAATTTGTTTGGAAACATTGAAAGAGAAGCTTGATTTTATATCTTCTCAATTTTCACGGTAGCATAGCATTGCAACGCGCGGATAGAGTGTTGGACGCGTATCCAATTACTTAATAAGAACAGGCAAAAGAAGAATGAAAAGACAACACCTGTCTATTCCTTATGCTTTAATCGGTTTCGTAAATGCTGTAACCGGTTACATGCGGTAGAAAATGCAATGGTGACTTTGAAAGTAACACTACAGTGCATTGATCAATGGTATTTAGACTCCGAATGTTCAATGCATATGACAAGGAGGAAAGATTGGTTTGTTACAATCAATCGTGTCACGAAGAATTCGTGGATGATACCACTCTAGCAGCGGAAGGGATTAATGATGTATCGGTTAAGAGAAGGGATAGTATACATTCTTTGATAAAAGATGTGTTGTATATTCCTGAAATCAAGTGTAACCTTCTAAGTATTGGTCAATTGCTTGAGAAGGGTTACAAGATTCGCATGGAAAAGATGTTACGCGTTATGGATGCAAACGGCGTTATGGTCCTAAAAGCTCTTATGTCTCCCAATAGAACTTTTAAGGTTGAGTTGAAGGTTATAAATGCATAGATGTCTTGCTACAGCCGCTAGCCGAGAAGAGTGGATATGGCACTATAGGCTTGGGCATCTCAATTAACGAGATCTCAATGATTTGTAAAAGCACGGAATAGTGACAGGGTTGTCATTGATCAACATACCGACTTAAATTTGTGAAGAATGTGTGCAAGAGAAACAACATAAGAAAAAATTCAGCAAGGATGGAGGTCGTAGAGCCAAATATTACTTTGAGGTGGTGTATTTGGATGTGTGTGGACCGATGCAAGTTGATTCAATTGGTAGCAATAGATATTTCGTCACATTCATCGATGATAATAGTAGAAAGCTATGGACATACCTAATCAAGAGAAAAGATGGGGTATTCGAAGTGTTTAAGAAGTTCAAGTTCATGGTTGAAAGACAAAGCAGTCACAAGCTCAAAGTTCTCAAAATGGATGGTGGAGACGAATATGTCTCAAATGACTTTGGGAGGTTTTGTGATCAAGAGGGCATAGCACATGAGGTAGTACCATCCTATATACCACAGCAAAACGATGTTGCCGAAAGGAAGAATTGATCAATTATGAACATGGTAAGAAGCATGTTGAAAGGGAAGAACTTGTCGAATGAGTTATGGGGAGAAGTGGTGTCCACGGCTGTATATTTGTTGAATAGGTGTCCAACAAAGAAGTTTGGAAAAATAACACTGGAGGAAGCATGGCCTGGATTTAAACCGAATCTGAATCACTTGAGATTTTTTGGTTCGGTAGCATGATGATAGGGATAAGTGATGAAACTTGTAGGGTATCACTCTACCGGTGGTTACAAGTTTTATGATGCAGCAAATAGAAGAATTGTGATGGTCCGAGACATCGTTTTCGACAAAATCAAGTAGTTGCAGCAGCATGTACCTGATTACCATATAAAGTTGTACCTGGGTACAACAATGAAAAAACAGTTCCTATAGTGCTTGATAGTGTAAAAGTAGTCCACGTTGAATCCCGAAATGAAGAGAATGTGAGAAAATCAACAAAGTAAAGAGGTTTTTCTTCAAGACTCCAAGATTAAGAGTTGTTCCGAGAAAAAGAAGTCAAGGACGATGGTAATTTCGTTCATTTTGCACTTATAGCCGAATTCAAACCCGTTAAAACGTATGAGGCTTTGAGTGGCCTAAAGTGGAGTTGTGCTATGAAGGAGGAGCTGGAATCAATTGAATTTCACAAGTCCAAGAAGGCACTGCTCATGCACCAAAGAAGGTATGCGCTTGAGATTTTGAAGAAATTTGAATTAGAGCATTGTATTGTTGTCATTACTCCGGCTGAACCGAGGTTGTAGTTATGGAAGAATGAGGATGAGCAAGATGTTAATCCAACTCAGTATAGAAGGCTGATTGGATCCTTGCGTTACTTGTGCAATATGCGGCTGGGTTTGACGTTTATTATCGGTATTGTAAGTAGATTCATGGAGAGACCGCATGTGTCTCATTTGGCAGCAATCAAGAAGGTCCTAAGACACGTCAAAAGATCTATTGGTTGCAGAATTGTTTTTCCCGCAATGCACATGGACAGAAAATGCAATTTGCTCGATTTTACTGATTTTAATTAGTGTGGAAATAAAGATGATAGAAAGTCTACCGCTGGATACATCGGGGAAACATCAATCTCATAGTGTTCAAAGAAGGAATCGTTAGTAGCACTCTCTTCTTGTGAGTACATCGTTGCTTCGTTGTGTGTGTCAAGCGGTGTGGTTAATGAATTTGTTGAAGGAGTTAGGCAGCAAAGTGAGGGACGCTGTAATACTCGTGGTTGATAACGTTTCAGCTATAAACTTTGCTAAAAACCCAATTACATATGGAAGAAGAGTGACGGAACCGGAACTGACGGAACGGCATTGAGATGAGGTGAGTGACGGAACCGGAACAATTTTATAGAAGGGTCATACCTTCAAACTAAAATAAATATTAAAGCGTCCAATATTCTTATCGCTTATTACATAGCCCAGTGGAATCATTGCCATATATTGGACGTATTCCATTAAGAGATTTTCTTTAAAATTAAGTAAATTTAATAACAACATTACATAAAACTCTCTTTTGGAAGATCGAACATGTGACCTCGAACTAGCAAAACACAATACTTAGTCGTTCGACAACCATTATATCATTGTCATAAAATAAAATTAAACATAAATATACACAAACTTCATTATAATTTGGACATTTTAAAATGTTTGGGGGCCATTGCCACCCCCTGTCATGTTGTAGTTTTGAGATTGGGATATCGTAAAATAGAAGACCAAGTGGCCGATTTACTGACCAAAAGAATCACAGTTTAATTGTTTAAGAAATTGAAGAAGAAAATGGGCATGAGAGACTTAGAGCACTTGAATTAAAGTGGCGTGTTGTGAAAATCACATAATTCAAGTGTTGTACTGAATACTGCGTTTTGATACCCGGGTTACCACTATATTGAAAGTTGGCTTTTGAGACAGATGTATCCGGGTACTGTGTTTTGATACCCGGGTACCACTGTGTTGAGAATTATTTTAGAATACCTGTAACACGGGTTACAGAAAGCGATAACCAGGTTATAGACAGACATTTCAGTTTTTCTGTTTTTTCTGTGAATCAATATAAAAATACATCATAAATATATCTTAAGCTAAAAAATATAAGCTTGCGAGTCCAGGACAAACGAACCAACTTTTTTGCAGCAAGTAGAAAGTTTGCACCCACAGCAACAACATTATCACAGTGGAAGAATAACCTGTTTTACTTCAAAGTTCAGACATGCCAATTGATAAGACTTCTTTCCCATATGATCTTGGCCTATGAAGAACAGCCAACTTCCTTTCTGCAGTATATAATAAATAATATGTTTTGAAAAAAAATCATATCATCAAAATAAAGCCAAAGGGAAGTATTTCTTCTCTTGATATTCAGCCAGCACACAACAATCACCGAGACCAAACAAAAAATATAGTTCTAAAATTTCAAAATTGCAAAGATAAACAAACTCTTAAGTCATTCTCCGGAAAACTGGCAAAAGATTCATCACAACAATTGCATATCTCACCTTGTTCCAATTAATGAAATCTGAATAAGTTTGGCATACCTTCAAAATCAAGAGGAATTAAAAGGATAATATCATGAGCCAAAACCACAAACTCATTGTGCATTATTTGTTTCTTCAAAAAGCGTACTATTCCTATAAATAAAAAAATGTTTCACAGTACTTGAAGTTGAAAATGAGGCCAAAGGTAGTTATAGACAATTGTTTCCCTCAAATAACATAGACAGCTTTTAAGAACGCGACGAC